CATTCTATTGAAAACAGCCACATTCTACTGAAAACAGCCACATTCTACTGAAAACAGCCACATTCTATTGAAAGCAGCCACATTCTACTGAAAACAGCCACTTTCTATTGAAAACAGCCACATTCTATTGAAAGCAGCCACATTCTACTGAAAACAGCCACATTCTATTGAAAACAGCCACATTCTATCGAAAACAGCCACATTCTATCGAAAACAGCCACATTCTATTGAAAACAGCCACATTCTACTGAAAACAGCCACATTCTATTGAAAGCAGCCACATTCTACTGAAAACAGCCACATTCTACTGAAAACAGCCACATTCTACTGAAAACAGCCTCATTTTATTGAAAACAGCCACATTCTACTGAAAACAGCCACATTCTACTGAAAACAGCCACATTCTGAGAGGTTGTGTGGAGAGCATAGTGGGGTCATGCAGTCTAAAGAGGACCTTACAATGAAGATCCATTAAAAGTTCCTGAAAATACAATCATCGGAGAAGTCCTCAGAGCTGGAGGAACTCCAATAAGCATTTCCAACCAAAGCACACAGACAGTGAGAGATGAAGAGTTTTAAACAGCCCCCCTGAAAACACCAGCCCCTGCCAGCTCTTACCACATTGTAGCAGGACGTCTTGTTGGAGCCGGTGAAGTGATGCGGGTCGCGGGTTTTGCACATGTGCATGTATATCTTGAACAAATGGTTGAGGTTTTTCAGGGACATGACGCACACGGCTGAGTTCGGGGTCGGCTCTGGAGAACTCGGCCGTCCCTGGGCGAAGGCGGCAAACAGCACGTCGTCACCTTCTTCCACCTTCAGCTGCCTCTGCAGCTCTACGTCGTTGCCCACCTTGGTAACGTAGGCGGCCTGAAGGATGTTGAAGACCTTCTCGTCTGTGGGAGAGCGTCGGCGCCTCTTGTTGGTGCTGATGCATTCGATGGGCATTTCCACGTAGCGGCGGATCACAAGGTCTGAGGAGCACATGCGGACTATGCGCGTGTGATAGCTTTGAGAGTTCCAGCTCTTCTGCTGCACGGTGAGGAAGTAGGTGAAGGGCCCGCTGTGGAAGGAGTAAACGTAGCGCAGGTAGTAGTTTCCTTGAAGAGATGGAATCAGGTCCATGTGCGAGAGGTTGGAGAAGAACGTGAAGCCATTTTGGCTCGTCTTCATCTTTCGTATGGAGATAGTGTGAGGATGCAACACATTGTCTGAAGCGTTTCCCGGGCTTGGAATCTCCGAGTTGCCAACAAAGAACTTGATGACGTTGCTCTCCACATTGAGAACCTGAGAGCCTGACGGGCCCACCACAACGTTTGAGTCAGCTGGCCTCACCTTGTCCGTGAAGCAGTAGACATTTTCATCAACAGTTTTAGGGCTGTAGCCTTCATCCAGGACATGGCGACGACAGACTCCGTTATCTGCTGAGCCACAGCTGTACAAGCCTTTGTCATAAATGTTCTCCACCACCAAAGCAATGTTGTGGTTGTCCACATGGGTACCGTTGCTTGTAGTTGTTGGTGTCTGGCCGCACGTCTCATTGTGAAGCAGAGGCCCCGTGTGGTACTCTGACAGCTTTGTGAGGTTCGGTGCCAGAGCGTAGATTCTGTTTATGGCGCCAACGTAGACGATCCCGTCCAGGGTCACCATGTTCTGGACTGGGAAGTCTGCCGTAAACGTTGGGAGCTTGTAGGTGACTGAGAGGTTCAGTTTGGCTGTCTCCAACAATTTATCGCAGTGACCCAGCACGCTGGGGCACGAGGCCCAGAACAGCATGACGATCTGAGGCAAGAGACGATTCATCCTGGTCCAGAAATGAGAAACGAGAAATAAGAGTCAAACATACAGAGAGCCAAAGCTTTCTTCATCTACTCTGAAAGCTGTGGTAATTAGGGACTACAGAGAAACAAGTGGAACACTGAAATCCTTTCTTGCACTTTTAAACTGAACTGAGCCCGAGAGTAAAACTAAGTTTACTCATTCTCAAATGACCCAAGTCTTTTATCTGTCAGAGTTTAAGAATCCTCCTCCTCGTGATGACAACTTCATAGGTAGACTGCAGAAACTGAACAAAACAGCAGCTAGAGCTGGACGGGTTCCCAAGTGACCACAGCGCAGGCAAAGGAGTGAATCACTCAGAGGAGCGCTCTGCGGGGCCATCCAACTGCCACGACTGGCTTTAGACGGCCCAAAGCACAAGGGAGTGGAGATAAACTCAATTAAAACAAAACAGGCAGGGGGTGGTGCCCAGCGAGATGATAAATAACTCCTCTGAGTAAATGGAAATCCACCGGGAGAAGCTTTTAGGTCAAGAAGCAGAGTAAAAACAGCATTTGCTAAATGTTGACGTGCATGGTGGAAGTGGGCTGATGGTAAAGTAGAACTGGGCAGAAACAGCCAGAACAGTGTGGACTCTTACACCCACGCAGCTTTGCGCCAGGATCACAGAGATCAGCGCCTGGTCCCAGCAGGACGGTCCTGCTCAAGAGGTTTCACAGTAAAATGGTCAAAGGCTCAGTGCACGTCACATCGGGCACAGTTGTGTTGCTCAGTGCAACAGCTCTGTGAGATGAGTGACGGGGCTCTTTTTGTGCACCTGCACTAAAACCAACGAAAAAAGACCGCGCGTGCACATGGCTGGGCTTAAAGGCAGAAGAGCCTCCAGTCCAGAAGGAAACCGAGTCATGGAGAAGGTCTCAGGAACCCCGCACGGGAAGTAGCGGCATTAGTGGTGCGGCGAGGCAGAAAACGCGTTTCCAAAGAGCGTGCGCGTTTAGAGGAGAGGAGGCTGCGCGGGACGATCCGTGCGTGTTTACGCGTGAAAACAGATTAAAGAACCAAGAACTCACCTGTTAGAGAAGATGGTGTCCCCTCACTCAGATCATGTCTGTCCCTCGACACTGAGCCTGCTTCTTGTCGCGCTCCAAGAAATATTGAAAATTTAACAACGACAGAAACAAATGTGAGAAAGAAAACTCTGTGAGCAGCGACCGGCAGCCTGCTCTGACTGACTGACTCTGACTGACTGACTCTGACTGCCTGCATCCAGCCGCTGCGCCGCTCCTCAAGCCCCGCCCCTTTGTCTACACGCGCTCCGTGACGCGTCCAGGTGCTGCGGGCGCAGACCCACGCTCAGGTGACCAATCACACGGCGTCACCCCGGAGGGTAAACGGGTGGGAGTGTTTGAAAAACACTGAAGCGCAGGTGTCCAAAGTGCGGCCCGGGGGCCACTTGCGGCCCTCGGAGTGACGTTGAGCGGCCCACAGCCGCACCTTCACAATGAATCATGTTGTGCAGCGATGAGGACTTTCTGCTGATCTGTTGGAGATCAGAGTCAGCGCCTCATGTGGTACACGTGGTGGAACAAGATTATGTTCACAGGGTCCAGTTACCTCCAACAATAAAATGTAAAATAAAAACAGTAACAAGATCAAAGATATGAACTAAGATAAACATCAAGTTATAAAACACTAAGCACTAACTGCATAAAAACATTACGCTGAACAGCAGCACGAGCACGTGTTTTTCATACTTTTTAATATAAAGTTTAGGTTTAACAGCAAAACAGATTAAAAACAATCTTCTTAAAACGAGATCTATTAAACAAAATACAAACCTTTAGCTGTGATCTTTTTATTTTCACTTCCTGGTACCAAACACCAAAAACCTGGTTTCTACCAGGAAGGACACTTTTGGATAATGATTCATAAAACGTGTCTAAATATTGCTGATAAAATAATAAATAACTGGACATTTTTAGAAGAATATAGTGTGGTATCATGGAGATGATCAACTTTATGAAACCTTCAGTTGTAGTGACCGACAGCTGGATCGTTTCTCAGAACTTGGATGAGACTTTTGGACCATGACGGCCCAAAGTCTCATCGACCCCCTTGTATAAAGACACTTACTCAAATTATGCTTTTGTTGCTGCGAACAGACTAAAATTAACTTTACAAACACGAGAAAACGACAAACACAGACTCCGCAAATAAAAAATCAAATCCTGTTTAATACAAATATAAGCTTAGTGTCTATTGTTTAAATGTTTTGGATCTACAATTTAAAACTTTCTTCACCAAAAATTAATATTTTAGAAAATTGGTATTTTCTTCAAACCGTTCACACTGAGAGATAAATTCACATCGTTTGTTTTTTCATTGTGAGAGTTTTTGTCTCACATGAAAGTGTTTGGACGCGCTCTAAAGGGACAGTTCACATCTTTTCATGCGGGGTTCTGCAAGCCGGGCGGCCACAAGTCAGAACTTCAGCTCACTGCAGCTGAAAAACCAAGAGTCATTTACAAACCAAATGTTTTACTTACTTTTAACAGTATTTTAATATCAAAGTCAAATGACTCATATTAAAGGGATAGTTCGGTGAATTTCAAACAGATCTGCCAGACAGCCACAGAGCACGGAGCGTGGAGGAAGAGGCAGTCTTCATCCAGGCTAGGCTAATGGTTAGCATTAGTGTTTTTAAAACCACATAAAGAATTATTTCTAAAATAAATAAGTTAAACAACATACTGATGTGAAAGAACTCTGTAGTAGCTAATACGTCTTGTCCAGTTTGTCACTCTCAGCCGAACAACATTTGAGCTTACACGAGTACAAGTACTTCAGTTTAGGTACTTGAAAATACTAAGGTACAGATATCAAGTAGTTAATGAATTAGTACTTAAACATTACACAATCTCTTAAGTAACATTTTTAATAAGAGCACAGCAAGCAGTCTGCTGTCGTAACATCATGTGTTTATCCTAAAAGATCTCTAAACTACAGATATTTTTATTTGTTCTTGAGTACTCGTGAAGTGGAAAAGGAAATGATATCACCAAATATAAAGCGATAAGGTTTTGAAGTATTGTGATGTTTTTATGAGTACGAGTACTTGAGGCTGGAATCAATACTGATACCAGTACTGATTTCTGTACTGATGCTGGTGCATGTATCGATACAGACTCCGATACTGGTATACTGATGCTGATACCAGTATTCATATCGGGACACCACTAGTTGTTGGTGCCGGAGCACGTTCTAGTGAGCGTGTGCAGGTTGACCTCGTTCTTTCTGAGTCCACATGGGAACACCAAAAATACAGTAAAGCTTTTAAAATCCTGTTTTTATCTCCATGAACTCAGCTTGTGTGTGAACAGGAAGTGCAAAGTACGGCAGAAAAGATCAGCTAAATAAAGTATTTGAGTTCCCCGTGAGAAGAACGAGGTAAGACAGGTGAGCACAGCCATGTGTGCACGGTTTGACTCCATTAAAGTAACGCTGACAAAGAATCAAGAGCTTCTGAAGGAAAGAGAAAGAAAGCTGAGGTGGAACACGTCTCTTTGTTCTCGTCCACCTGACCCTCCAGAAGTCCTGAGTCACTCGCTGCTCCTCACGTCAAACGTCTCACTCAGCCACAAATAATGAGCTCACTTCTAAAGGCTAAACCAAGTGTGTGAGGGCGCCTCAGCACTGAATCACACATTCCTTTGTGCCACTTCCTGGAACAAAGGGCCTTGGGAGTGCAGCCTGGAAGGCCTGATGGCAGCGCGTGGATGCCGACTGAGCGGGTCGGTTCAGGAGCAGATCGGACGTGCTGAGAGGGACTCTGAGACACCTTTCTTCTCGTCTCAGTGGGATGCTCAGAAACTATTAGTTTTCTGTCTCTTCCTTCTTTCCAAATTTGAACAATTAAAGTTAATTCATTACTGACTGCAGTTCAGTCATGTACTGACTGCTCCGTGTATGAGTTCTCTGGACTCGGCTAACGCTCTGATTTCCCGGAGGATGACACTAGAACCGTTGACACGACTCCGGGGAGCCTCAAAGCTATCACCGTGTCCCCTCATGGTCCTGAGCTCCTCCAGTTTTACTTGCAGCAATAAGTTACAAACAGTAACACAAAGACTGTTAACAAAAAAACAGGCTGCACGCTGATGTCCACCGTCTCTGAGGGATTTCAAAAGTGAATTTACTGATGCATGCTCAACAAGTGATCTGACTGTTGGGCTGATGGTCCTCCTTCTTTATTTTCATTCAACCTTTATTTATTGTCTCAATGAGCGATGCATAGTCATTTACAAGAGAGACCTGTTTTAGACAGACAACATTTAATTATAGACAACAATTGAAAAATAAAGACTAGTGTTATGAAAACAATAAAATCAAGGTGCCATATAAAACATGGTAAAGTACATTTTTACATGTGAGCAGCTTGTTCCTGCTGTCAGCAGCAACCTGGTTGATCCACTATGAGAAGGTGATATTTAGAAGACAGAGTTTGTTGCAGCTCCTCAAGCTGAAGAAATCCTTTGGATAAAAAATGAAACGTTTCAAGAAGAAGAATCCATCCAGAGGACCTGACTCAACCTGATTAGAAGAGCAGAGGGAGTTTTTATTTCCTGTCCGAGGAGGTGCAGAATGACGGATCCTGGCGAGTGGAGGGAACAATCAGAGCATCCATATAGTACATGTATCCTTACTGACTGACTGTACATGTATCCTTACTGACTGACTGTACATGTATCCTTACTGACTGACAGTACATGTATCCATACTGACTGACTGTACATGTATCCTTACTGACTGACAGTACATGTATCCTTACTGAATGACTGACTGACAGTACATGTATCCTTACTGACTGACAGTACATGTATCCTTACTGAATGACTGTATGTGTATCCTTACTGACTGTACATGTATCCATACTGACTGTACATGTATCCTTACTGACTGACTGTATGTGTATCCTTACTGACTGACTGACTGTATGTGTATCCTTACTGAATGACTGACTGACAGTACATGTATCCTTACAGAATGACTGACTGACAATACATGTATCCTTACTGAATGACAGTACATGTATCCTTACTGAATGACTGACTGACAGTACATGTATCCTTACTGAATGACTGTACATGTATCCTTACTGACTGACTGTACATGTATCCTTACT